GAGCCTTGCTAGTACAGTGGTCTAAAGCACCCTGTTATTAAGACCAGCTGCCTGCAATTACTGCAGGTTCGAATCTCGCCAAGGCTCAAGGTTGACTCAGCCTTCCATCCTTTCTAAGGTAGGTAAATTGAGGACCCAGTTGTGGGGGCAATAAGCTGACTTTGTATAAATATACAAAAGAATGAAGGCTATTGCTTAGCACATTGTAAGCTGCCCTGAGTCTCCAGAGAAGGGCGGCATATAAATCAAATTAAAAAAAAAATTCTTGTGAATTGATCCTGATCCTTTTAAAGCATACTGTATTTAAGTTGCAACTGTACATCTTTATATTCCCTGGTGGTTTTCTCACAGCATAAAACCTACATAAACATAAAACCTACACCTAGTTACTGGTTACCAGTTCTTAGTCACATACTCCCCCCGCACTTACGACGACAAGAAGCTCTCATTCGGGAGTATAGTAAGATCCTATTAAATTCCTCTCTGCCCATACATGGATACATTCCTGATCTCTTAAGATACCGATTAAAGTCAAGAAATCCACCAATCTTGACAGCGCGTAAGTTGATGGCCGATCATCAGAACACCACACAAAAGTGGATGGAGGCGTGGAATAGCTGTTCCCCCCCAAGATGTCTCCGAGCATATCAGTCCTAGTAGTATACCTCCAGGATTTAGCCTACCCCGACACATATGGGTGACATATAATAGAATTAGAACAACTCATGGGATGTGTGCTGACTCCCTGTATAAATGGGGAAAGACACCTTCAGCACAATGTGATTGCGGGGACCCTCGACAGACTATCCAGCATATAGTGAGGGAATGCCCTAACAGAAGGTATCCACGAGATTCTAGGGACTTCCTCTGCATAACAACGGCAGCTACTGACTGGATCTCCAAACTCGACATTAAACTTTGAAATATTATTTCTGTTTTCCTTTTAGGTTTTCTTACTGTTTTTTTATTGTTTTAATTGTTTTTAACCTGTAAAAATGAAGTGTTTTAATACTGTGTGTGACCAACCATACGCTAAATAAATAAATAAATTCTCACAGCATATATTCTCAATCTGAAAGAGCCCAAAGAAGGGCTCCTATGTAATCTCTTACTTTGAGATTTCATTGTTAGAAAGATTATGATTAATTGCTTGTAAACCCCCCCCCCAAAGTCATATGACTTGGACAGCTATATAAATTGGAGTAATAAGTAAATAAATAAAAATTATACACAGGGCATTTTATATATCTTTGGCTATTTGTTACTAGATAAAAACAACAAGAACAACAACATGGTTGATCATGAGAATTTCACTGCAATCCTTTTATCTTTTGAAAAAGATTCTGAAAGCAAACTCTTTCATCCAACTGAGTGAAAAACCAAAGAAAACCACACAGTCAAAATATTCTGCAATATGAAATCACTGAGGAATCACAGTCACATCTGTGTTGTTATTTAGCAGCTCAATCCTGTAGGGGGAAGAGTGGGACAATGATTGCCTTTGGAATTTAGTTCACATTCATTAAGTGATAATAAGGTTTGGTTTCTGCTTAAGGTATTGTGTGATCCAAACCAATTGTGATTTATTTAATAAACCATAATTAGCATGATGTGTAAACTGTAACTGTGATTTCATGATTAAGTAGTTTAGAAGATGACAAGTAAATATGTTCCACTTTCACCTACTGAGAACTTCCACTATTATCTTCCAGCTAAAACATGCTTTAATAAGAATGTCTGAGAAGCTAGAGATCAATAGACTTTTCCCAATTAGAATATGATTTGGTGTATTGCATGAAAGGCCAAGGAACAATTTTTGCTCTTGATAGGGTAAACATGTCTAGAAAACTTGAAATTTGATATTAGATTCATATGGATTGAAAATTTTTAAAAATGGTACTGAAATAAGAATCGTCTAAAGATTGGTATTCTCTTTCTCAGAACAGCCTTCCATATGAAGTGCCCTTCATATATGTTTTATTACAATTACCAGCACAGCCAATGAATGTATAAATTCTAAGTATTAAACTATAATCAAATATAACTTTCTGGCAAAAGGTTTGGAAGATTTTCCTAGTACTAATTCTTTCAAAGCACATAGATGGTCTTTTAGACACTGCTGAATCACAGTTCACAATCACAAACATATTGTTTGGGGCTTTTCTGCCCAACTTTAAGGAATTGGCTTCTATCCAAATATTTGAGCTAAAACTAGCTGAAAGAGCCCAACCTTTCAAATTAACATTTTTTTCTCTTCTGTTATTATTCATTTATAAATCCTGTATTATTATCTTCCCAGACTAACAGAATTTATGTCTCAAGAGCCTCTTTCTGGCAACGAAACTATTAAAATAAGCAGTATATAATGAATTTATTGTAATTGGATTATTTTTGCAAGATCCTGTGGGTCTTTTCAATGAATAATATTGTAAGATGGTAAAGCTGGATTCTTTTCACTATATTAAATTCTAGTAGCTACTTTAAATGATACTGTTAATAGTACAGTGCCCTCTATAAAATTTTATTTTGGAGAAAATCTGATTTTATCCTGATTCTTGCTTAAATCTTTTAATTTTTATAGTGACAATAATTTCAAAAAGTCTGAGCCAGAAAAATATCTACAGTGGCTATATTAACAGTTTGTATTATTATGGATTTTGGTTCAACTTTGGCTTTGCTGAATGTGTAACTGAGTCATTATAGTTTATAAATCATGGTTTATGCTATTAGTACTTCTTAGTAAAAAGAAACCATGGTTTACCATAGTGAATCACAATAGTCAATGAAAGAAAAATCCCATTAAGTTTTTCACAAGACCATACATGAAAAACCTGAAGTAACTGAAATAGATTTTTCTGTGACAACTAAATCCCCAATATATAAAAGTAATGTATAAAATATTCTGGATCTTTGCCAGTGAGTATTGGCTGGTTTGCACATATTACATAAATGCAGGGTTCGTTTAAAAGCCCCAGCTGAGTCTTTCCTTCATCTGTTTTCTCCTGCTGAAAAATCAACATTGTGTTAGTAAAGGAGCTTACAGTATATAAGACTATATTTGAAGTAATGAGGAATCCTGATTGATTTGTATTGCAGATACCTTATGATTCTATGTATCAACATAAAAATGGGAGAAACTAGTTAACAACATCTCTCCCTGCTTTGATCAGTTAAACTTACTCCATATCAGCATGTAACCTTGGTTTTTATCTATATAAATCAAGGACTACCTATACAGGTAGTCCTTGATTTATGACTACTAAACAACCTTTCAAAGTTAATACAGTGCTGAAAAAATGTTACTTACAACTGGTCTGCATGACCACCATTTCAGTGTCCCTATGATCAGGTAAGCAAAATGAGGGCACTTGAGAACTGTCATGTATTTACAATGGTTGTCATTTGCAATCTACTCAGGAGGTTTCCAACCAGCAATGCGGGAAACCAGATTCACTTAACAACCGTGGCAAAAAAGATTGTAAAATTGGGCATGATTCACTAAATGACTACACTGCTTAGCAATGGAAATTCTGGTTCCAATTGTGAATAGAGGGCTACCTGCATATATAGAAACTATATTAGGTGAACTTAGTGTGGAGTTGAGGTAAGATTGCTGAGACCCTGGTACAGTTCCACTATTATCTATGGAAACTAACTGGATGATTTGTGGTGACAACTTTCAACCCAACCCACCTCACAGAGTTCTTCTGAGAGGATAAAATAAAAGAATATTCTAATGAAATTAATTTGAGTTCTAAAGAAAAGGTAGGATAGAATTCTAACAAATATATTAGCTCCCTGAATTTTCTTCTGTTCTACTTTTTTGTTTTACTTTTTCCCCACATTTGAGCCAAATATTGCCTCTTCCTTTGACCTAGCATTAAAGGCATTATAACATTAAACCTTTTATTTCTGATAAAGCCTTGTTCTTTCTCAACTATTCTTCGTTCCTATCATTTTGCTTAACTTTAGTCACTATAGCAGGTTCTGCTTAAATGGTTTTTCATCTTCTGTTGCTATAGTTATGCCACATCTCTCCTACCCTTTTTGCATTTCTAAGCTTTCAACCTGAATCTTTTGCAACTTGTTATGTGCCTGTGGGGAAAACCCTGGGGTTTTTTTTTCTACTCTTACCAAGCATCCACTTATTCCACTGCCGATCATTTGGAAACTGTTTGAAACTGGTGACATGCAGAAAATTTCTCTTGCAATTTTCTTTCTATTAGTTTTCATTTAAGTTTATGAAAGAGGACATCTGTTATCATTTGTTTCTCCCTTCATCCCATTCAATAGCAAAGTAAACATCAAAAGAAAAGTCAAAAAGAAATTCTCATGTATCCTGAAACTGAAGTAGAAATGCAAAAACATCATTGAGAAGGAAGTAGATGTTGAGAAATTGCAATGCAGATTTTGGCATAACATTAGATGAAACCATGGTAAAATGGTTACCAAAATTCTTCTCTATATAATATAAGTGTCAAAATCAGACTAAACTAAATGCAATCGCAATCCAAATTGATGACTAGACCAATGCAGTTTTCTTATAGTTTTCTTATTATAGTTTTCTATTGCCTTCTTAAGAGCCCACTTATACTTTTATTATCCATTCATAACCTCTGGAATCTAAGGAACTGAAAATATTGCAAAGTAAGCAGGATACACAGGGATCAAACAGGGATTTTCTAGGACATATTTTTTAAGAAAGACTGAAAAAATACATGTTCAGCTGAGGTTAATATCGTACACAGTGTGTCATTTAATTAACCTAAGAAATTCATCTGTAAATGTCAACGTTATAAATTTATATTTGAAGGTCACAGATTCTAATCCTCTAGCTTGATATTTGGTTGTTTTTTTATGCAAAGATTTTAGAATTGAGCAGATTTAAATTTGGCAGATAGCCATCAAATATATTTGGATAACTAATCGCAATAAAATTGTTCTTTTCCACAGAGCCTGGTGGCGTAGCAGACTAATAGCCTGTTATTATCATTCAGCTGCCGGCAATTACTGCTAGTTCGAATCTTGCCAGGCTCAAGGTTGACTCAGCCTTCCATCCTTTCTAAGGTAGGTAAATTGAGGACCCACTTTGTGGGGGCAATAAGCTGACTTTGTATAAAATATACAAAAGTATGAAGGCTATTGCTTAACGCATTGTAAGCTGCCCTGAGTGTCCGGAAAAGGGCGGCATATAAATCAATTTTTTTTTTAAAAAAGTAATCAATATTCTTCTAACGCATCCTTTAAAAAAAAATCTTTTATTATTTTCTTACACAAAATGCAACTTGCTAAAGCCTAGCCCAAATATCTTTCTTCACGCAGGTGAAATCAGTGGCAGAAAATGTTGGGTCTGTTTATAAGTTTCAAATTAATCTTATTCAGATTAATATAAACATTAAATTAAAGCCCATGTCCAGTCTGGTGATGTTAGTGATAATGGCTTATCCTGTAAGATTGTACTGATGATGATTGAAATGATTTGAGAAAGCTTTGCGATACTCAAGAATGCTATGCACATACTGCCTACAGACTGATAAACACAGCTGTCATCAGCATTGTCAATGAGAAGCAAAGAAAAGAAGCATATTTGCTTTTCTCCCCCTCCTCTCCACCCATTGCTAACATTCAGGGAGGAAGAAAATCCAGTAGTATTCAATATACTCCACATCAATCTAGCTAGTCTTTATTGTATCTGTCTTTTTACCTGGTGGCTCTTCATTGGAATGGCATTTACTGTCATTGCAGTTGGAGCAAAAGGTAAACGTGTTGGTTTCACAGTAGTTTTTCTTTTTCCTGATGGAGAATGGTTGGAAAGCAAATAGACAGTGATATCATACTGCCTATTTGACAATAAATCTTATTAAATGGAGAAGTCCTTCTAATGAACATGTTACTGTACTTGAATTATAGTGAACAGAGCATGAACCCAACATTTCTGAGAATCAAAGAAGTGCTGAAGCCAGTAAAAAAGACATTAGAACTAATTTACATCCTATTTATTTCAATGTATCTTACAGTTGATGTGTTTGCTTCAGACAGTTATTTTTAGTATTTAGTATTTTTAGCATTTCAGCTGAAAAGTTCTACTCCGTCGTTTTCTCCTAAACAGTTCCTCCACCATCAGCAGCCCCTTAAGTTCAGCAGTGTAAGAAGTAGTGGGAAAACTCAAGATTTACAAACAGGATTTGTTATTGGGCTTTCTTTCTGTAAAATGCAAATGCCTTTGTTGTTACTAAATGTACTTTCCCCTTAAATAAGTGAGATCCATTTTGTGTAGTCTTTACCTAGCCTTGGTTATGCTCATGACAATTAGGCTGCCATAAATGGATGTCAGTGTGGTCTGGCTTTGAAAATATGGATATTTCAGATTGTTGTGGTTGTATGAAACCCTCATGATGGCTCTTTTTTTAACCCTTCAAGTGTTGTGGTAAGAAAGTAAGCATATTTTCCTTTTAAAGATATGTTTTGTAGACCTTGCTGTCTTCTCCATTTGGCAGACTGCAATCACCTTGTGATTATTCTGAATGGAAGTATTGATTCAAAAAGTTGGCAGATTGAGACCTGAAAAATAGGTTCTCAGCAATCTTTTTTAATTGAATATACTTAAATCTACATGCTAACTCTAGTCAGTGAAGTCAATATTGCTACGCTACCAAATTTCTGGAGCCTTTTCTCTTATCCCATTGTGCTCATGCAAAAAAAGACTGTACCTTTTTTGTAAAACATTTGACCATCATTGATCTTGTTTCATATAAAATGAATACGAGACGCCATTGTTGTTTTAAGGCTTTAATTCATTTTATCACTTTATAACCTATATTATAATATTACAAAGATATCAACAAGGGAGGCAAGGTTGCAAATGAGAAGTCCAGCTAAAATCCTGAAGTTCCACAATCTACAATAGGACATGATCCATGCTAGGCTCTGTAGCTGCAGATTTGTGGAACCCCATTATTCAGCTTGAATATCTTGAAAATCCCCCTTTTTTTCCCCAAAAAGCCCACATACTTTTTTTCTTTTTAAAGAGCTTCATTTATCACAAAGGAAAGCTTTACTGATAAACACTCTTTATTTTTTTATTGCTTACCACCTTATCTGTGCTTAAAATCACTTATTTTAATTTTAATGTACCGGATTTTCTGGCGTATAAGACGACTGGGCGTATAAGACGATACCCGACTTTTCCTGTTAAAATATAGGGTTTGGGCTATAATTGCCATATAAGACTACCCCTCTTCCAACGCACACCAAATAAAAATTTAAAAACATCAGATTTGATTTCAATTCCACATACAGCTTTGTGAGATTTTGTGTGTTTGTGTATTTAGAGTGAAACATTACAGAAACACACTAAATCTCAGAAAGCTGCACAAATATTATTTTATTTTAATTTATTTTTATTTTTATATGAAAGCAGCTAAATTTAAAACTTCCGAAACTTTAAATGGCTGGGTCTAAAAAAAGAACAACTAAAAAAAACCCCAATTAACTATTTTTTTTTAAAGCTCCCAAAGGGGAAAAAATCTTACCCAATAGAACAGGGGTCTCCAACCTTGGCAACTTTAAGCCTTGTAGACTTCAACTCCCAGAATTCCTCAGCCAGCTTTGCTTTGCTGGCTGAGGAATGCTGAGAGTTGAAGTCCACAACTCCCTGCCTGCTTGATTGCAGGCAGAGAGATTCAGTTGCTTGCTGATGCAATGGATTGTGGGCAAGCGAAGCAAGGCAAGCGTTGCGACTAGCAGCTAAGGTAAGCAAGCTGGAGGGGGGTGGATTTTTGCTGCCGATTAGCAGGCAACTCAGCTGGGATGGTCAGAGCTTGGCTCATCAGAGCCTTTCGGACTAGTCTGCCTGGTTACAGGAGAACGACACCCGGTGTATAAGACCACCCCCGATTTTTGAGAAGATTTTCATGTGTTAAAAAGTCGTCTTATACGCCAGAAAATACGGTAAAAAAATTGATAATATCTGATCCAAAAACTGAGAGCTACACATAAAGTCTTAGGAAGAGACATGAAGCACCTATCCTGCAAGTTAGGAAGCCATATCGCCCATCTTTATTATTTTTATTAAAAGTGGAATGTATATCTTCTAAATAAATCAGTGTTTGCTCTAGGGCTTGAGGTTATCAGATTCATCTTCTTGAACTAGACATGACTTTGGTGAACTTTGGAAAAAGTTTTGTTTCCTTAATGGACATTTTTCTGAACAAAAGTTTATTAAAACAAACACATCTGCCTTTATTTGGGAAATAATGTCTGCTGAACATTTTGTGCGAGATACCATTGGCCAATATTGTTAATCCTGAAGTTTTAAATGTCCTTATGACTATTTAATTGACATTATAAAGGATCAACTTTGGCAAAGGGGACATGGTGACAAGAGTGAAGACAGAAGGTTTTCTTTTTCTTCAGATGCAGATGAACCCCAAGGGTAACTATAAATATGTGCAGAGAATATTGCTTTCCATTCTACAGAGTTGAACACATGGGACAGACAACCTAATAATACAGAAACCCAAGTTGTTTGGGGAAAAAACCAAGATGACCTTCATAAAAATAAAAAATAAAATTCTGCTCAGGAACACTGAAATGATTTGTATTTACAAAGATGCTAGGGATTTAACTTAACATCTGGAGTCATCTGAATAATGAATTTTAAAAGTCGAGGAAGATAGTTTCAGTGTGTCATCTCAGATTATAAAGGCATGTGCATATATATAGCTACCATTCTATTTCTTAAATGCCAAAATATGGCATTTATGGCTATGTGGCAGCCTTACACAAATCTCTCAAATGACTTACACTTCCCAGAGTGTTGCCAGTGTGTTAATAGTGTTGTTCCCTGTGTAAAAAATTCTTCTTTATGATTGTAATACAGATGGGGAGGTGGAAGTAAGAGAGGAGAAACCTATGTATTGTATCCTACAATAAAGGTAGTTAGTGTTTAAGTAACATGGGACTAAGCTGCTGGAATTAATTTTAATTTTCTGTTTATCAATAGTTTACAGGAGGAAAATGGAAAGCGTTCTGATGAGTGGATTTGCCAAGCTATGAGAGGAAAGAAAATTATTTCATTGTCACTTAGGTAAGTCCAACTTTTGGTGACTATTTGAAAGACGCTTGTGTGGAAGAACATCAGTAGCACTTTCCAAAACATAATTTATCCTCTATAGAAACATGTTCTGTTCTTGTTCCTAAACTTTATGGCCCCACTAAATTCCTTACACCATATTTTGCCTTCCTTTTAGAGAGCTTTACCTTGTATGACTCTATATTAGATGTGGCAAAACTCCCTGTTTATGATTTTAATGCTTCTGAGCAAACTATATTCTATTAATAGATGTTGTGATCAATATTTTTGAACTCAAGAAAGTATTTAGACTGTTTTGGAAAATTATTGACCCACATGTGACACATGTGTCTTTCATCATGACTACTGTTATTTGTGCAGAATTGCATTTAAATATATCAAGGGGTCATTCTATACAACATAGCACTTGAACATAGCAAAATCTCAATTTACCTCACTGCTAACCAATCTATAAGGACATCTTTGAATTTCTCACTTTCAGTTTTAGAATATTGTATCAATTTCTGCTCTATTTTTCTGCACTCAAATTTTATTTAACAATTTTATCTTCCTATTACCTTTCTATTGTTTCTATTATAGAAATTCCTCTTACTTCCTATTTAGTAAATGCTAACTTCAATGCTCACAAAGGCCTTTTTAAGATTCTGAAAAGATGCATGAAGCAAGCTGTTCATTTAACACCCCTCCTTTTCTCACACATGTGCCAATGTAATGTCTTTTTCAATGTTTCATTCAGGGAGCCATTTGTCCCCTCAATTCTCCTGCAACATTTTCCATGACACTAGCCTGTTAACCAAATGGAATCCTCAACTGTTTTGTGGTCTGTTATTTTGGATTTGCAAAGAAAAGAAAATACAGTGGAAAAGCTTATTTTCTCTAAGAGTGTAGTAATACTCACATCCTCAATGTCCAATAAAAAAAAAAGTGCCACCTTTCATTGGAGTTACCAATGCAAGGCCCAGCTATTGCTGACTTCAGCATTAGCATCCTGTTTTCCTTGTCAAAGTCCATAAATATCTGAAAGGAAACCATTTGGCTTTTCTGCATGCAAATTTATTAGGTAAGTGACAATCTCTAATTTCATAGGACTTTATTGCCAAACACCTCTCACTGCATGGCAAGGAAAGTTACACACTCTTTATAAGTTAATTCAGTTAGACAGAATCCAAAAAAAATCCACTCAAAGCAGCATCACATCATAAGGCCAGCTCATATATGTAAGTTCGTTACTTACTGACCAGAGCATCTGTTGTCATTAATCATTCCAACCATGTGACATCCACCTCCATAGAACAATAGGCCAATTAACCTTGGTTCTGTCAGTATAGAACATCACTCAATATATGTATCATAAACTGACATGATGCTCAATCAGCAATAAAAGGACCCCAAGGCAGCCAGCTTTCTTCAACCAGTAGTAGATGACAAAGGAAGAAAAGTCCAACTTGGAGCTTAACTATTGCATTCAGACAATTGACCAAGGTCTGAAATATGGAGCGTATGCCATTCTCTTGGTCTTCCATAAAGACATAAAAACATGGCTGTGCACCCTTGCTCAGTGGTGGGATTCAAAAAATTTAACAACTTGTTCTCTGCCCTAATGAACGGCTGCATGGTCATGTGACTGGGTAGGTGTGGCCAACTTGATGTCACTCATGTCAAGGGGCACTTCGCCTCGCTCAGCCTCTCATGACTGTGGGGATACTGCAATGCTTGTAACTGTGAAAAATGGTCATAACTCACTTTTTAAAGTGCTATTGTAACTTTCAATGGTCACTAAGTGAACTGTTGTAAGTCAAGGATTATTTGTACAAAACTACAGAAGGCTTCTTTGTTTGCAAAAATACCCTAAATACCAATCATTAGATTAGAAATGTGGGAATATAGATTGAAGATCCATGACAGTCACAGCCATCATGGAAACCTAAACCATTCTGTCTAAATATCAGCAGCAGCAGAAATACCTGCAATCCAGAGTTACAAATCAGGCAGGGTGCCAGAGCTATTAATTAAAATAGAAGAATTAAAATAGTTAAAATGTATCAATAACTATCAGCAGCCAACTCTTGCTCATAAAGTGAAACCCTTTAGCAGAGACTTCATTTAAGCTCTCCAGAAAGTGGGTGGGCACACTTGGGCTACAAAATGCCGAGCTAAAGAGACAAATTAACAAAGTATATAGGGGATCCAGGTTCAGGTCTTTGCCCTCCCAAGCTTGTCAGGATCACAATAAAATTAGTACATGTACAGATATCTAAATAAACTTCTAGCCTGGTGCCATGTTACTAAGCCTTATTATCATGAGAGAAAACTAAAAGGAATTGGAGGGAAGATCCACACCCCTACCTCCATTTTTTTTTAATCTTACTATCAGTGAGCAATCATATGCCTTGGCCACTCTGAAGCAATGCAAGAAACTCCTGTCCCAAAGGTGCTTTTCCAAGAAACAACTGGACTTTCTGGAAACCAAGAAAGTCCAGTTGCCTCTTTTTTGACCTGGATGACTGAAGAATCCTCATAGACAAGAGACTACTGTGCTCAGCGAATCGACAAAGCACCCTTTCCCACCCAGGGGAAGCAATCCTTAGATGCATTTGCACCACTTAAAGATACTGGCTGGTCTCACTCACCTCACAAGAGATCCTAAGGAAATCATCCAGATTTAAGATCATATGCCCTCAGGAAGGCAGTAAAAAAAATCAGTGCCAAGCTTGCATCCTGCCTCTTGGAAGTACACCCCAAAAGGACAGTGCCAGGAACCAGTAAAGCAGTGTAAACAGCTTAAAATAACCCTTCCCCTTTAAGAAAGTCAAGCCCCTAATAAAAATACCAGCAAAGGAAAAAAAAAAAACCTCTAGAGAAGCAGCTCAGGCTACATTACCTACTGCCAAGAACCATTAGCTGTTACAATGTAACAGGCTTAACTGCAGAGGCAGTTTCTGAAAACACTTAAGCAGGGCAATAAAGATAAGGCACAGCAGAATGTCTCCTTCCTTCCTTCCTGATAGGATTAACTCTGTAAGGTGGGAAAAACGAAAGGATGTTTCTTCCAACAGCCGGTTCATTGAACTACTCAGAAAGTTAGCTAACGATTCTCCCGAACTGGTGTGAACTGGCTGAATCCCACCACTGCCCTTGCCTGGAGTGCGTAAAAGAGTATGCAGTGGTGCCTGAAAGTCATCCCCAGACTTTTAATCATTTTTTAACATTCCATGGCTCTTTTAAATTTTACATATTGTTTCCTATGCTGTTAATATTTTATTGTACACCCCCCAGAATCCATCTGTGAGAAAAATGGGTGGTTCTTAAATAAAAAAATGATGAATTTGTTATAAAAAGTTGTATATATAAATTATTGACATAATTCATAGCCTAGCAACCCACTTCATAATTTACCTAGTCTATATTTCATTAATCTCCTTTCCTTACAGTTACATAGTTTGAAATTCATTTTTCCTCTTCTAAATTATTGCCTTACTAAATGTTTGCAAAATTACCTATTTGTCCACCAGTCAAGGTGGGCTAGCAAGATGTGACTGGCTTTTTGTTAACTAAATCCTTTCCAAACACTCAGCATGTACTGGTTTGAATATCACCCTATTATTATTTTCCTGTGGGAACAGACGTTTTTGAGGCTCAGCTGTGCTAAGCTGTATGTGATGCTCTATCTCTTTTTTGGACTTCAGGCCAACAATGGCAAGAGCTAAGGACAGGAGCAGCTGAAGCTTTACCTCATCAAAGGGAACATTCTTATTTTAGCTTCTTCGTTGCATTTTTCCCATTCATTTCATTAGGAATTGTCTGGGGTTTTGAGCTATTTATTGGCTAGAGATTAAGTAAATATATAAGAAAATGGTCTCGATTTAAAATGGTAGAAAAAAATACACTTGGGCAATACCAGTTTAAACAAAATCAGCAAACATGTAAACAAGGATGGAGGTGAAGAAGCGCTGAAATTTTCTAGAGTCTGGAGAACCCAGAATATTATTCACTATTTTGGATCCTTTTTTGGCCCTGATGCCAATATTGTGTTTGAAATTCATCAATGGTGTGGCTTCGAATTTTGTTCATGAAAAACAAGGATTAATTTATCATTTCAGACAGACACCCATATTTTTTCTTCCTCCAAGAAAATGGTTGCAAAGAAAATAACATAAGGAATTCAAATAATACATGTATTGGATTCAAATAAGTTTGAATCCAAGTAAGGGTATGGCAGATGAGAGCTAAATAGCTTGAAATAGATCTATACTAGTCTCCCTTTATTTCTTTATCAGTGAATATAAATTTATATATATAATAACTATATGTACAGAAAATCATTAAGTATTATGTATCACCAAATTCTTGTATAATTTATGAGTAAATTATATTTATCTCTAGTTTTGCAAGGTTTTTTTTAATAATGAACATAGCTATTATGTAAAAATGTTTCTTTACAAGGAATCTACTAAAAATTTCAGATTCTTGCATTATAAGTGCAAGAATCTTGCAAAAATAATTTTTGTCAAATGCATGATAGAACAAGAATAAATTAAAATAAATTTATTGAACGGTATTTGCTTGGATACTGTCATGGCTCAGGACTCAGACTCTCACTCTGAAGAAGCTCCTTTAACTGAACCAATGGAATGTCAGCCTAAGGAAACACGAAACCAGGAATTTCTTAAGTCCTGGGCTATAACAGATGCCACATCAGCAGTAAGCTATTCAACTGACATCGTAAGAAAGATTACATCACTTCTATAGCTACTTCATATTTCATAAACTGTATAACATTTGTGCATGGTTATGTGTTCTTATTATTATCCTTACTGCATTCCATTTTTCCATTGATCCCATTGGAGGGATTGTTCCCTCCAATAGGGCAACATGTCTCTCTCCTGCTTTTCTTGCCACATTTTCGCAGTGAAGAAGAAAATAATAACAAATTTCCAAGCAACTGGCTACTGTTGCTTGGCAAATCAAATCCCTGAACCCGAAGAACATCTTTG